AGCAACTGTTAGGTCATCTGCATGTTGTATATTAATAATTTTTTTATCATTTATACTAATTCCTGATATATTTGGTTCGTTTCTGATTTTTATGGATAAAATTTCAGCTACAAATAAGTGTAGTAAAGCTGATATTGGACATCCTTGTCGGATTCCTCTCGTCATATTACATGTTTTAGATAACCATCCGTTATTTTTCATTTTGAATTTAGGGTTTTTATATAATATCTCTACCCATGTAATAAATTGATCGCCAATATTAAATTTTTTTAATGTTTCAAGAAGAAAGTTCCATTCTACGGAATCGAAAGCTTTTTCAAAGTCGAGAAATAATAATATGCCGTCTCTCTTCTAGGAATTACAATATTCAAAAATATCTAAGATTAGCCGAGCATTTTCACCTATGTATCTGCCTTTAACATAAGCCGTTTGATTTTTATTGATTGTATATGATAATATATTTTGTAACCTTTTAGCTAAAACACAAGCTATGATTTTATAATCAGTGTTTGTTAAGCTAATTGGTCTATAATTTTTTAACAATTGTTTTTCGCCTTTCTTGTGTATTAAAGATATCACAGACAACTTTTGAGATTCAGACATTTCTTTTTGTTTAAAGATTTCTTTAAGTGCGTCATAAAAAATGGGCCCTATAATGTTCCAAAAACATTGGTAGAATTCACATGGTATACCATCTAAGCTAGGAGACTTTTCTCCTTTCATTTCAAGTACGGCATTTTTGCATTCATCAAGTGTAGGGAATTCATCTAACATTAATTTGTCCTTCTCGTTCAGCATTGGTACTTCAATATTGCTTAGATAACTCGAAATCTTAGCGGTTGGAATATTTGTAGTTTTAAACAGAGTCGTATAATAATTATTCATTTCTCCGATTAATGAATTTGTAGTGTTTATTAAATCGCCAGTAGGCGTTTTAAGTTCTTTAATTACATTAGACGTTTGATTTTGTTTTTCAAGATTTAAAAAATATTTTGTATTTTTTTCGCCGCTCTCTATCCATTTTGCTTTTGATCTTATTTGTGCCCCTTTTATTTTTTTGTCATAAAGTTCATTTAAATTTGTGTAGAGTGCCTTAAGTTTTCTATTATTTATATTGTTACTCTGGCTATTTTCCATATTTTCTATCTCTTTTTCAATAAGGGCTATTTTTCCTCTCATATTCTTTCGTTTATTTTTTGCGAAAAATATTGAAAATTCTTTAACTTTACGTTTAAAAAGTTCCCATTTGTCGATCGGATTTTGTACATTATCTACTTCATTAACTAAATTTGCAATATTTTCCTTGTATTCCTTATTCTCTAAATATGAAACATTTAATTTCCAATAATTCGGACCTCTTGAATTTTTAGAGACACTAAAATACATTTTTAAATATCTATGATCACTCATTCTTGTGCCTCGGGAATGAGTACCTGGTAACTTTCTCACTATAATTTTACCTACTTGAAAACAGAAATTATTATTCATAAAAATATAGTCTATTCTACTAAAAGGGATATCTTGGGCATTACACCACGTTTCGCCTTTCAAATCAGGGTGTTCTCTATTCCAGACATCTACCACATCAAGCTGCTTTAATAGGTTAATCAGATAATTTTTACTTTTGTCTTGTTTGTCATTGAGTCGACAATTAAAATCTCCACATAGAATTACGTTTTCATTTAAACAATTTTTGGTAATAAATGTATGCACTCTTTTGAAAAAATCAACTCTTTTGTTGATGTCGTTAGGTGCGTATATATTTACAATTGTAAAAATTTCATTATCATATTCAACATTTAACAACATTTTTCTACCATCAATTGATTTTTTCACATTCAGTATTTCGATACTTAAATTCTTCTTAAAAAATATTGAAACGCCTTTACTATGTGACGAATCGCTGTATGAATGAAAACTTTTCCCATGCCATCCGGCATTATATTTATGTTCATTTTTTTCAATAAAATGTGTCTCTTGTAATAAAATAACATCACATTGAGATAATTTAAGCCATTCATATAATTTTTGACGTTTTTCATCAGAATTAAGCCCCCTTACATTAACTGATATAATTTGTAGTTTGTCCATAGTATCGATGTACTAGGTTAATGAAATATAATATGGTAGTAAAATATTTAAGTATAAACATACCGGCATCATAGTCATGAGTTTGAATTCAAAAGAAGCAGTCTATTGGAGCATTACGTTTCCTCTTCTCCGTCCGTCTCGGATGAGATATCACTTCCGGATGCAGAATCGTGTTCCTGCTGACGGGCGCGCATTTCACTAATCATCACTGATATGTCGCGCTGTTTGCTGCTCTGTTTTGAGTTTTGCTTCTGTTGAGGACTTCTCCATTGATCGCTTTTTTGCGCTTACGGATCTTTTTTGCGAGTTTGCTGAGTATTTGCCCCAATAGGTTTTTACCCGGCCACGCTTGCTGCTTGGTATTTTCTGTTCCTGTCTTGTTAAGCCCGGTTCCCCAGGTGTCGTTGTATGTAGATTCGGCTAGAATCACGTTTCTTTTGACCGATCGTAGTTTTTCCCGGAACTGCTGAACTTGAGCGCACTTATTATCGATAACTTCGGCCATGACGGCTTCACTTGTAGAAGACCACTGATCGTTGATCCTGACCTTGTCACCGAGACGTTTGGCAGAGAGAGCATCATCCGCTTCTAAGATGTTTTTGGCTGCATCGAGGTCGCCACACCGTGTTGCCTTAGCATATTGGTAGGCATGCTCAGCCGATTTGTGACGAAACCCGTAAAGGTTGATTTCGCAGGGGAAGAAATTTGATAGCACATTATCTTCTCCATTGAATGCGATCACATTTTGCTGAGGCTCGTAGAATCTGCATTTAGGTTCTCCAGGTGAATGATCTGGCTCCAAACACACCTTGCATTTAGGTTCGTTTTTACAGTTGCCCCTGGTGTGATCCGTGCCCCAGCAGTTGGTGCACACAAGTTTCCTTTCATGTTTTGGTTGCCCATAGTGAAAGATGAGACATCTTAGCCCCGCGCAGTACTGTACTCTAGCAAGAGATGTTCCCGGAGGGAGGGGTGCTACGTAAACGAAGCGGCTTCCATTCAATACACTCGTCATTCTCTTTGTGACTGGGTGCCTGATTTTTCCATAAAGAATCTTGCTTTTTAGATCTAGTTTTAGCTTTTCTATAAGCTCCATCACAGAAGTATCAGATACCGAAAGCGGTAACCCACATATTCTGATTTTCAAAGTTTTTTCGTTCGGATTATGGTTTCCGGAGGAATACGGATTTGTTTCGAAAAAGGACAGGGATATATTGTTGATCTCGCATCCCTCTGAAAGAAGCGTGTCCCTGCTTTCTTTGTCTTTAAGATAAAAACGCCACAAGTTTCTGTCAAGCTGTAAGCAATGTAGGGAATTGCCCACTTTAGCCATAACGCTTTCCATAAGATCAAAGTCTGTGATCCGATCTTTGTCTTTGCATTGAATATCTGAATCCTTTAGATATAACGGTTTAATCGTTGGTTCTGAGAGCTGCTCAGCCATGACGGTACTCGTAGTCGTACAGGTAGCTAACATATAATACAGGTAGTGCAGGTGAGTAGGTATTCACCCGAATTCACGGATTGTAAATAATCAAATCAAAAATCCATCAAAAGTCCAAAATTAAACATCCAGAAAAAATAAACATATATACATAATCAGGAAAGATTCCTGACACATATCCAATGAAAATGAATAATCCAAACTCAGTAGATATGCGAAAATTGTCAGAAGACTCAAGAGCTCGGTACAACACGTCTACCTTGTCCTGCGTCACGTGACATTCCCTCAATATTGTCGACATACGCCAGGTGAAGCCAAAAATGTTTTCCTCCGGGGACACGAGAGATCCCGTTCTATCTTACAAACTTTATTCGGATAAAAGACCCCTAGGATTTTCTTCAGATGACGACCCCTTCTATCTATCAAAACGTACCATTCCTCTAGATGACCCCAGAAGTGACAAATGGTTCTTAAAACAAAAAGTTGGGGAGAAAAAGCTTGCGTCCTTCATGAAAGAGATGGCTATAAAAGCCAATTTCACAGGAAAAAAATTGACCAACCACAGCGCAAGAAAACATCTCATTCAAAAGCTCCGCAATGAAAATGTCCCTCCGACCGATATAATGCAAATAAGTGGGCATAAAAATGTTCAATCTGTCTTGAACTATAGCTCTATAACCGAAAATCAACAAAAGAAATACTCACACATTTTGAGCAGCACTTCGGTTCAATCGGTTGATCCAAGGCCTACCCCTATGAGTACACAAAATCCACAAAACAATTCAACTGAAAATGTCAGTTTTCAAGTGTCGGAAACTTCTTCATCCAGCCAGATGAGTTCCATGTTCTTTGGGGCAACACTTCACATCCAGAATTTGAATATTTTCACTGGACATCACTCATAAATTCACAATAATTTAACTTTTCCCACTTTGTATTGTTGCGGTTTTGACACTGTTTAGACTGTTACAAATCTACGTCATTTGTTTACAAAATATTTCTCAATTACAGCTGTCGAAAATTGCTGATTTGTTAGACTTTCGGATGATATTTTGTGTAATAAATAACCTCCCAAATCATCATTTTTTATTTGTGCTATGTTTTAGTTCATTTTTTTACAAACTGTGTGGATCTACGTTATTGTGCGGAAGGATAACTATTTCACGCTTCAACCTAGCGGTGATGCGAGATCAGCGCAATAATATTACCATGCAAAAGAAAACGTTACACATAAGATTTACTTGATTTACAAATTTATTTTTTTGCAGGATAAACAAAATACATGGTAACTGTCTTGAAATATAAGCGATATTTGGGCTCGGGTCGAAAACGTAAGAGGGCTCGGCAAGCCTCGCCCTCTATCATGTTTTCTTACCCTCGCCCAAATATCGCTTATATTTCAAGACAATAACCATGTATTTTATATTTATCGTATTAGTTAATTAATATACGACAAAATAGATTGTGGGCCCCCATTCACCAGGAAGATGTCAGCTGAAAGTGTGGAAAGGTGGGATGGTATCGGTATCAAACGACGAATACATCTAAAATGCACTGATGAGTACGAACAAACCGGAAATGGAATATTCATATGTAACGGGAATGGTAAATGGAAGAGTGATATGGTTTGTAATGGTAATTATCAGAATACATGAACCATTTTATTTATTTTTTTTTATGATGAAATGTACCAAAGGTGAAAAATATAAATTGTTAATATATGAAAAATGTGGACATAGCGAGCAGTATTCCAGCTTAAATGTCCATTGAAGATTACAAAAAAAGGTTTGAACAAACACTGACCCCCAAACCACCAGAGTCGTTATCAAGTGCCATTGAAGATTGAGCATCCCCCACCGACCGGTCACATCCGCCATGCGCTCCTTGCCATGATCGGGAAGTAACGGAAATAATCGTCGTCAATTCGGTGTAAAAATAATGGAATGACAATCAGTATACAATACGTCAGTCAGCATTTGATTCAATGATAAAATGATTTTTTCTGACAAGGTCATTGCATCAACCATATACATGTATAGAAAAATAGATACTGTTTGATCATAAACTTTTAATTTGAATATTTTTACTGAAAAAAATAAACGAGCTGTATCTCATGAATGTGCTTGAACAAAAGAAACGCAGCTTTCTTCAGGTTTGCATTGCAGGCTTTGCTTTCACTGACCTACCCATAAATGACGTCAAAAATGAAAATACTACATCAAGTGAATGCAGAGTTGTAAGGACGGGGAGAGTTCTTGACCATTAAACCTTATTTCAAACTGAATAAAAATGCAGAATTGTATTGTAAAATACGCATGTCTTAATATTATATTTTAAATTCTGAATGTCCGAATATTTTTATATTTAAATGTTCTACTTTGATAGCTTTGATTGAAATTCTGCTTTTTTCGGAATGCTGATGAAAATTATACTTTTGAAATAAACTACGTTTTAAACCAGTGATTATAAGTAGAACTTATAAAATATGTTAACATTGAAAAGTCTAGGACAAGTGATTAATGATGATTACTTTGGTATTATTTGCGCAAATCTGTAAAAAAAAATGTGCGGTTGATTTATTTAAATTCAAATAACAATATTGAAACGTCATCAACTATTTCTCGGTTCATCTTCTCATGAAATATACCCGAACAATAGTACAACTCGGTTATAAATACGTACGAAAGTACTTTGCTATGTCCGTAATTCGCTTTATCCATATCAGGAATTCGTTAAATTTAAACAGGTGGGGATCCAGCATCACTTCGCTGTATCCATGTTCGTTCTAAACAGGTTTTACTACATACAAACATCCTCAAATGTTTTCTTTCAGTTAATCTTCTCGTTGAATAAACTCGATTACTTATATGATTTTCCCAAGCAGATTTCGGATACACAAGAATATGAAATTTCAAGTGTTATTAAGACAGGCCCCAATTGGGGTAAATGAATACAAATGAATACAACAAAATAAATAACATGTAGGCATGTATGCATGGCACTTATGCTAATTACTATATGCATGTATTCTTAAAAGCAATAGAGTATAGAAAGCCCCAGCAAGTAATTTTTTTTCTAAAGTTTTGTAAGCACATTCTAAATGGAAGTAGAATTCATCTTACGGATTCAATTATTTCCATCAACTCCCAAAAAGCGACCTTTCTCAATTAGAAATATGTGATCGCGCATCTTAATTTACTTACATCTTTTCTGAAATCAATACATTTCAAAACAAAGTTCTAAAATGAACTTCTAGTAACCTTTGATTAAGGGGTTTGGGCATATATCAAATCTACCGCCAAACGATTTCTGTTTAATTTGATGAATCCTTATGGCTCCGAAGCCCTTTAACGCCATGTATTGTCTTTGTCTCAAGTCTTATAGGTTTTTTTTTTTATCGATTTACAATGTTGACGTATGCCTTAAAGGTTGAGGCTACGACAGATAATCGAGTATTTTCAAGGAAGTATACAGGAAGAAGTCTTCACGATACTATACTAAATGATATTAATAAGCAGAATTTTGATAAATTGTTTAGAAAGGTTCTTTTAATTTATGAGCTGCTGATTAGGATTTGGTCAAAATCAAAAAGCCCAATGGTTCATTGCGCATACGTACAGGAACATCACTATCCAGCACAGCAGGCCCATGTTGATGTTAGTAATATTGTTGCACCTTAACGTTTTGTAGAAAAAATCGTCATTTTCATTAAACTTCCATTAGAGATAAATTTCCGTCCTAAGTATGACATCATGTATGAAATAGGAGATAGATTTTATGTGATTAAACTTTTCAGGTTATATTCAACTCTTCATCCTAATTAAGATAAAAGCGAAGCGTCATTACTTCCATCCCAAGAAGAATACAGTATATCATGATTTTTCCGCGTGCATCCAATTTCCGCTTTGTTCGCGACGTGTTCTGAATCGCGGAAAATAAAAGCGTTATTTTAATACAAAGTGTTCTTCTTGTGGTAGATTTTATTTCTTAATGCTTATATCGTAGAGGGTAGAAATAGCGGGATCAGAGGACAAGCGCAAGATACCGGTAATAGGTATGAGCTCTTATTGCTCGTTTACAAATTGACAAGCTAGCTAATTATATGGGTTGCGTTCCTTGCGAGAAGCTATTAAACTAATTATACCTGAGCTGCTAGTCAGTTTGGAATAGAAAATGACTTGATATGATTGTTTAAATCTTTAAAAAGTAATATCTGGTTTTGATAATTAGTATACACAAAACAGGTGTGTGTTCAGCTGAGCGGTCTTCCAAAATTGATGAGGTGAAGGTCGATCAATCTATTTCTCACCCGTATGAAGTAACTCAAGTTTAATGAATTTACAATTTACATCCAATTCCTTTATAGGCTTAAACAATTGTTATCAATATAATCATTATAAAACCTGATATACGGTAATTCAATTATATATTATATAATTATACCGATTAGGCAAATGTTCAATTCACAAAAAAAGATTTTTAAGTGGTGTGTTAGCAATTTTGCCTGGTGTACTTGGATCTGTTGTTAAAGTAGCAACTGCAAAAGAAAAATTCAGTCAAAAATATTCTTAATATTATTTTTTCATAACTAAGGTTCATTTGTAATAACTTAAAAATGTATATATATAAAGAGAAAGCTGCTGTCATAAATAAAAATCATTTTGAAATTACTGAATTGATGAAAGCGATACAAAATACATCTATTTAGATGTTTTCATAGGCAAAAGACTTGGGTGTTTCGAAGACAACGAGACGCGATCCTTTGACCCTAGAAATTACCACAGACTTCAAAACATGGACGCATCTGTTTGCAGAGACCACTGCCTGAAAATTGATCAAGAATTCAAATACATTGGACTTCAGGTAATGTTGCCGTTTATATGTGTTTCTTGGTTTTTCCCATTATTCATCATCAAGGAAGTTTAACATTTGTAATTGTTCAAATGTTTTTTTTAAATGACCCTCTTAGCAAAGAAATTTGCTAAACTTGGGGAAAAGATTTTTTTCAAATTCTATTTCAGGAAGAATCATATGCTTCTTACTAAATGCTTAACGAGATAACGGACTTGTAAAGTTTTCGGAATGTCATTTTTTCTTCTCATTTACAAAATTAAATTTTTAAGCATCAGACATTAATTTATCAATTCTTATCTAAAAATCCTCAATCTTAAATTAGCAAGACGTTGTCTTCACTGTTATAACATTTGATTTCAATTTCATAAACAGATGGATCTATTAATTAGGAATAATTTAATTTTACTTGTAACACACCCTTTGATTGGATAAAAGATTTTATCCATTTTGGATAACATAACTTGCCTACGTCACAATGAGTTACGTCAAAAAACGTATTACTCCGCTGGACGTTACTTTTAAAATCAAATCATTATGAAGCCTTATTCTAAGAAGAAAATTATCTCATTGTCTACACTGAAATTAAATTATAAGGAATGAAGCTTATTTCAACTTATATTATACGATATAACAAAACTTGGGGCAGTTTACGCTTTTTTATAAACTGCATGCTTCATTCCTTAAAGAAAGACGCAAGTAAGAGAAATGGAGATCACAACAACTGTATATAAAACGTTCCTTTCTTAAAAAAAATGAATAAATACTTTGATTCATGTACTTTGGTTTGAAATTTTACTCAAGAACGCAATTAACTTTATCTTTACGATTTTGAACCTCGAAATCTTTTAATTTTAAAACAAATGATGTAAAATTTAGAGTGCATTTATGAATTGAAAAACGTTAAAAAATATATATAAAACACTTTGATGCCTTGACAGCCTAAATTAAAAAGCTATCAAATATTTTATCATACCAGTTTATTTCACTGGAAAAATATTATTTACAGAGGGAATGCATGTACACTTATCGAAACTCTGAAGTCATTTTGTAAATCTCGTCTTTATATACTTTTTTTTGCAGCATGGCTCGGCCTGTTTTTGTGGACATCATGTAAAGTTCTGGAACAGACGTTCGGACAATGAATGTTATATAACCTGTCCTGGCAATGAGAAAGAAACATGTGGAGGGGATTGGAGAAATGAGATTTTTACTGTTTGAGTAAAACAGAAACACATTGACATTCTTTCAGTTTCAATTTATATTATCTTCCTTGTTTTTTTGTAAAGAAATGACTGAAAAATAAGAAAATAAGAAAAAAAAATGATTTAGACTTTTTTGTGGAAGGCCTTCGTTGGTATATTTTTGATTTTTTTAGGAAATGAACTGGACTGGGTGTCCTCCTTTTACAAATGAAACTTTCTTTTAAAAATAATGAATTTAGAAATTGTCAACTCTTTTAATTACCTTGGATTATGTTTAAACTACAATGGTAAATTCAATGCTACGCCAAAGATATTAGCTTGGCAAGTTCAAAAAGCTCTATTTAGTTTAAACCGTTGTATTGAGAAATTTGAATTCAACGCCGAAACCAGCTGTCAGCTCTTTGATACAAATGTTGGCAGCGTTTTGTTGTATGGTAGTGAAATCTGGGATTTCCTGAATCTACACTACCTGAGGATGCTTCTATAAAAATATGATCAATTATGCCTCTGCCATTCTTGAGAAGAAGATTTTTAAAGAATTTTCCTATATATTTCTATGTAAAACTTTGGTCGGCCATTGTGGCCTCGCCCTACCCCCCGGGTTATGATTTGAACAAACTTGAATCTACACTACCTGAGGATTTTTCCCCATAAGTTTCATCTTTCCTGGTACAGTTGTTCTTGAGAAGATTATTTTTAAAGGATACCACCAAATTTTTATTAATTCCCAATTATCTCCCCTTGAATGAGGGCGTGGCCCTTCATTTGAACGAACTTGAATCCCCTTTACCCAAGGATGCTTTGTGGCAAGTTTGGTTGAAGTTGGCTTAGCGGTTCTTGAGAAGAAGTCGAAAATGTGAAAAGTTTTCAACGACGACGACGACGACGACAACGACGACGACGGCGACGGACAACGGACCAATTGTGATCAAAAAAGCTCACTTGAGCCTTTTGGCTCATGTGAGCTAAAAACAGAAAATTGCATTTTAAAATATGAATACCTGCGAATAGATGCAGAAAATGAACAAGCACAAGTATAAACTGGGCGCGTGTCGTAAAACTTAAATTATTTAGGTGAAATTGAGTCGGGGAGAATTTTGGATGAATCAACAAGTAATTTACTTTGCTCATTTAATGCATATATATATAAAAACAGAATTCTAGATATACACCTTTAAGAGTGCAATGCATTTATGGATAACTCGTCAAAATGTTTTAAATAAGCACATTGTCCAATATGATTTCTGTAAAATGCAACCTTTTATAACAAAACCTTTTCAAAGTAATTAAAAAAAAACAAAACATATTCCCCACATCAGACTTTCGCGGCACTACCTAAACATAGAATGTGGAGTGTACGAGGGTTGATCCAAAAGTAATGTCACAGTGTCCATATCTGTTATATTTGGCGTCATATTATCAAAAACAATATGCCAAAAGATGCACAGATATAAATCTAATCAACCTTGAAATTTTCATTTAATAATGTTTATTTGATTTTATTTTATAGATGATTAAAACATAGATTATAGGGAGTGTCGCCGCGTCACAACGGAGCGTCACGTTTTAAAGTGTAATATTTTTTAGAATTAAAAAGACAAACACAAAAAAGATTCTAAAAAAGCACTTAATCTCCCAATTTTTTAAAAGACACAGTTCTCGTCAATTGAAAATTAAATGACGGCATTGGTATGTGTGATCATAAACATTGTTGTTTTACTCTGTTGAATTGAACAAAGGGATTGTCGAAATGGAAAGAAAACGGCTCGACGAGTTGTAATGCATTTGTTGCTTCAAAATATGGGAATCATCACAAGCGAAATAACATTATTTAATCAGACTTAGAGAATAAAGAATCAGAATGAGAGACATCTTAATAGATGGTTTCAGCAATTTTGGGCAGGTGATTGGCCACCGAATGATCAGTAGAGGACAAAAAGACCGCAAGATAGGAGATCGGACGGAAACGTTCAAATGTGTCTGACGTCAATAAAGACAGACATATAGAGTGACATGCATATGTGAATTTCAAAGTCTGTCTTTACTACTTTCAAAAAATTTTGACAGAGGGCTTAATCATGAAACGAGTGAGCAATGGTACCAAGAACTCTTTTTAAAAGTGGAACTGGTGAAAGTGTTTGCGAATCACAAATATTTTTTTAACGAAACGAAGGAGAAACGCTTGAAAGTATGACGGTGCATATCCGTCATATGACTTTATATTTAGGTGTGGCTGACTCCCATAAACGCACATTGTTTAAAATCCGATATTTTAGAAAGTATACATCACATTCCTTTGATTTTTTCAGGAAAGATTTGAAATAAATAAAGCTTTCATTCTGTATAATTTTGTTGCTTTATGTTAATTTATAACAATTTTATCAAAGTTGTGACATTACTTTTGGATCAACTCTCGTAGTTATCAAATAGAAGATGAATTTCATTTCATTCTCTAATGCCCTAGATATCTAAATCAAAGATAAAATATATAAATGAATATTTTTACAAAACACCAAGAACATTTAAATTAATCAAATTATTAGGTACAAACTGCATATCTACTTTGGTAGGTTTAGGGAAATATATCCAACATGCCCAAATATTACGTAACGAATATGTATCAGGTTGAATTGCATGTAATTTCTATTTGTGTAATCTTTCTATCTTATTGTCTATATGTCAAAACAGCATTGTTGTATATTGTATCATAACTTTTAATTATTACGAACTGTTAAATCAAAAATTATTATAATTGTATTCTATAAATGAATGGAACTGTGGGACTGAGACACACGACCTTGGGTCTGAACCCCCAGTCTAGACCCATTGAGAGTCGATTGTATTATATAATATGTTGTATGTTATATTTGTCATTTTGTAAACTGATGAGCTGTATTGCCCAAAGTTATATCCTGAATAAACTTATACATAATATATCTTTTCTTTACTATTTATTTAGCCTTCAATCAAAAGATGCTCTGAAAAAATATTGTCTCTTGCAATATTTTATAATCTTCCATTGCTTACAGTGGACCTACGTCTTTCCAAAAAAAGTCTTCTATCATGATCCAATCCCAAGAACTTAACTATGAGATGCATTCCGATGGTACTTTATTGATTCCTGCACTTATGCGAAGTTTACCAATTTTCATCTTCCGTTTCTATTGAACACAATCCCTCAAGAAAGTCTATTTCTGTATTTATGATATTTGTGTTGTCGATAGACCTAGCATCAAGGGATAATCTATTATGTTCATTAATTTGAATTCCATGTCCTTTTAATTTATTTTTCAAATTTCCTTGAATCTTTGTGCGAAATCCTATCATGATTTTTTTTATTTCAGTTGATTTGTTTTGCTCGACGACGTTGACTATCAAGTTGATCGTTCCTCATAAGCCACCCCGACCATCAATGAAATACACAGTTTTGAATTTGAAAACTTTTTTGGCAGGTAGCCAATTTCTCATACACTTTAAAGTAATTATACTATTTGTATTTCATTTTATGCTGTTAATTTTGCATACATGCTGCTGCAAAAGTAGTCACACACTCCAAAACATCCGATCAAATAACTCCAACTCTAATCCATCTTCACTGGCTCCAAGTTGATAACAGAATCAAATATAAAATCCTTCTGGTACACTCTAAAATCCCTTCGCAGCCTATTTCCAGTTTACATGAGAGATATCATAACTGTTAACAACCAGCCACGATCACTGCGTTCAGAATCCGCACATCTTCTCCAGGTACAATACTTACCGAGCACAGCCTAACACCAGAGCGAACCCGAAGGTGACCCCGGGTAGTTCGTGGTGCGCTCCGGGTTCGCTTTCAGAAATTTTGGGACCGCTCTGGGTGCGCCTTGGGTAAGTTCCGGGTTTGCACCCAGCTTCAATCTCATCGCCAGTAAGCCCTGCCCCTATTCCACTACAGTAATGGAATTGCGGAATCGATCATCGTTGTTTTGGCGATCGATGCATGTACATTATAGAGAACATTGATAAATTTTCCAAAATTCAACTGTACATTCGACGTAGATTAAAAATAATTTCCTTGATTTCTCTGCTTTCGGAATCTCGATCCCGTGAAATTCCAAGTTATCTGTCTAACAGCGGGCTATTAGGCATTTATTGTTCTTTATTTATAACGGCAAAACAAAAACAGAAGAATAAATAAGGTGTTGAATCGATTTTCAAGGAATAGAATAGTGTAAAAGTGAAATTGACGAAAGCATCTAAGCAAAATACCTTTCAAATGCATGCGTTATTTAGTTCTAAATTATTTTTGTTATTCTTTGTGTTTTGCTAAATCATAGTTTAATTCATTTTTATGTATTTCTTCAGAGCAAGTTTCGTTCTAATAATCCCTTAATAATTTTTGTTTATGAGGAAGATTCTCATTTAATTTCTCAGGGATCCTGTTAACACCTCAGCTCATGTTATCATATTACTGAGCATTACTTTTTATAAGCATAGCAGCCTTTAAAATTTGAACAGTGATTATAATGTAATTTATAGTGCATGAATTCTGTAATGAATAATGAAATATAATTTCCCCATGTAGTTTCTATACGTAGAACAACGAATTTAATGTTTTCCTTAACATGCAGTGTATAATTCAGAAAATAATAACCTATCAGATAAAAGGAAGAAAGGCATAAAATTATTAATGTTTTACCACAAGTTCATTCAA